AAATAACTTGTTTAACTAATTTTCTTAATCTACTTAATTTAGTCAACTAGCTCTTATATTAAGGATTAAAGGTAGTATATATCTATTTTTCCAAGGTTGTCCTTGTAGCCGCACATGTCAAATGTTTCATCAAATAACATTTGATTAGCAAAGGTATTTTAAGAAAAATAACACATATTTATTACAAATAATTAACTTAACTAATTTTCTTAATCCGTTTAAATTAGTCAATTAGCTCTTATATTAATAACATGAGGTAATATATATATTGTTCCCCTTAAGAAATTAAATTCATTAAACCTTTTTTTGGCCAAAAAATTTTATTAAACTTAAACTTTAACCAATACTGTCTCCATTTACAGGGTAAAATTAATTGATTTTATGATTTTTTAAAGAGTAATAATAATTGATATCCTTAAATATATAAAAAAAAAAGTGTGATTTTTTTTTAATTTCCCCCCTCATTGAAACTAACGGTAATAAAGTGCTATCCAAGAAAATCAAATGCAAGCTAATGCCTCATTGCAATTAAGAACTGCCTTACCTTTACGATATATTCAGATGAATTAAATAGGATTTTAAAGCTCTGCCCTATACTATAATTCTAACTGAATAGAGGATATGTGCACCTTCCCGTTGGATCTAGAAGAGATTGTTATGTTGCTAAATTTACTTGAAAATGAAATAAATTCTCAAATTTACCCATATTTTAAAATATGACTTACATCTTGACGGGAAAGGAATTGTAAAAAAGGAATATTATTGCTTAAATTTTTTAAATTTAGAAAAAATGTACTTAAAATCCTATGTGGGGGTTGGAATAAACATTCAGGGTTGTGGGTGGAAGCTCGAGATTTAAGGGTTCATTTGTTTGGTTGTGACCTCAAAATGTGTTTCAAGGGAATGTCTGTCTGTCGACCAAATTCTCATATTGGACTGCTAACTAGCCTAGGGAATAATTCTATCTTTCATCGGTTTTAGTTAGTCTCATATATACTATTATATGTTATGGGGATATTTCTTTTCTTGTTATAATTAAACATTCGACGGCAAAAAGAAGTTATAATTAAATATTCATTTACCTAGATTTTTTTAAAGAATGGATACAAATTTTACTTGATATCGATGACGATAATTCTCGGAAATTGGTAATAATTTTCTGGGAGAACAAACAATAGGAATGTCGTCCATCCATGCTTTATATTTTGAGCCCTTGGTAAGCGTGGTAGTGGTATGTATCTGTTTGGTCCTTCTCCTTATCCCTCCCTCCCTCTCTCTCTCTCTCTCTCTCTACACACACACGTATCCATTTTCATCACCACGTTTTGTCCTATTTTATGCACCAGCGTCTCTAAATATACTTTTCTTATCTTGTACGACTTCTGATGTTTAATATAAGAACTAATTAATTAATTTAAATAGATTAAAAAAGTTTGCTAAGTTAGTTATTTGTAATAATTAAATAGGTGTTGTTTTTCCTATAATACTCTTGCTAGTTATATGTATTAGTTATAATTACCATTTGGTGAAACTTTTAACATGTACAACTATTACATAGATTACTTTGAAAAAAATAGATAAATATGAGAGATAAAATGAATTGGAGATTTATGTTTAAGACCAAATTATAAGTTAAAGTAACTCTTATATTAAAGGTTATAGGTAGGATATATAAGTTAGAAGGAAGATATTTCCCTGTAAGTATAAGAGGTCATGGGTTTGATTCCGCTTATAATCTCCGGCTAGTAGTACATGCCTTTTTAATTAAGAAGAAAAAGAACTTATAGTTGATGAGATCTCGTGCGTTTTTTTTTTAATTTAAAAAAAAAAGGTTTTCTTACAAAAATAATGCAGCTTCAACATCAGAAGAAGTTAGGGGTAAATAATGTAACCTGGCTATAGCTAAGGAGCTAAGGAACATATCAAATCATAAGAACAGTGTGGTCGTTGACAGCATTATGAAGCAATGTTTTGATGGGTCAATGATAGAATCCTTCATCAACTAGGTTTTTTTGACTTGTCTATGACTTTTGCTCCGTATTATACGTTAAAATCAATCACAAGGTAGAAAATAAGAAAAAGAAGGTAACACAATTGGTCTTCAAACTAAACTAACACATATTTATGATTGCTTCAGGTAAACGTTATATTCCAATAATTTAATTATTAATAATTATAAACCTAGCTAATAATAATAGGACTAAAGTATACATTTAGTCTTATAATTTTATACAATATTTTAATTTGGTTTCTTAACTTTTGAAAGTATATTTTTGATCTTTTAATCCTAAAATTGTTAAGTTTAAAACATGTTTTTTTATTAATAATGAATATGGTTGTTTTGAAAATTAAAATTAAAATATTAGTATTTCAGAATATTTTATCAACATTTAAGATATCAATGTCATCATTTTTTGTTACTAATTTTAGAGCTAAAACACTAAAAATATACTTTTTAAAGTTAAGTGATTAAATTAAAATCTTGTATAAAGTTGAAGGATTAAATTTATACTTTAGTTTAGCCTAGTAGTAATAGTGACAATAATAATACAAAGGTTGGTTTGCATAGAAATAGAACTAGAACGTGGTCTTTACACACAAATTGCTCTTGCGTCTAAGATTCTCCAAGCTTTTTTCTTTTGTTTTTATTATCTACCAAAATTATATATTGTCCTACACATCTTTAATTTTACCTTGTAAATAAATAAACAAATATTTGCTGAGTGATCCTCAACTTTATTGCAAGTCATATGTAGTTTTCAAAAAGGAGGCTCTTTCTTTATATAATCACAAAGTGGTGGTACGGTTTTAGACGATTTCCTCCATATATATGTCGTACGTACATATGCTACGGTAATTAATAAGAAAAGTGACTTTTTACACGAGTTACTTGATTCACCCAGGGTAAAAACGATTTATTTATTTTTTTTAAAAAAAGAATCAAAGTGCAAATTTGCTGCAAAAGTTTTTATTCAGAAGCTAGACACTCAAAAAGTTTTTTTTTGGGTCAGATTTATAGTTAAATTTAAAAACGTAACAATATTACTTCGCACTATTAAAAAAAACTAATGTTGAGAGTTAAAATATTAATACTGATCATTGACATTTTTAATAATAGGGGATAAGATTATTATAATTTTAAACTTTTGGGTCAAATTATCCAAAAAAACCATTTACAAGTGCCTAACGCTTTTGTGTGAATACTTCACAGATAGATTTATACCTTAACCTTAAAAAACTGATTTTACCCTTTTATATTGGTGGTAAGCGCAACTGGTATAGAAGTAATTTTCTTCGTCGATTGTCTGTGCAACTGTCCATAAATAGATGAATTTTTAAATAAAATAAATAATTTAACCAGTTATTTATATCGATTGTTGTTTTGCACACACGTATACTTTGTTTACAGGTAACTCATTCATTAAATGAAATTCCTAAATCACTACGCTAATTGAATATGATTCATTAAATTAAATGGGGTGCATCACCTTTATTTGCTTGGAGAGAATTTTATTGTTTGGTCAAATTGGAGGGTCAAAAAAAGATTAACATTTCAAGAATACGTACATCTTTCAGTTATGTTGATTAATTTAACCTGTTCTTATTTATAATACATGCATGATATATAGTCATTATCATACTATATGTATATATCCTTTAATAGCAAATTTTAATCATCAAAACGTTTACGTTGAAGATTATATATATTGATTTGAGGGTTTGATTTTTCTCCAAAATAGTAAAGTAATTTGTATGTCCTCTCTATATAATTAAGCTTAGTTATGATTACACGCAACACTTCATACTGATAAGTTTTGCTATAATGTCGTTTTCTCAAAATAGAATTACATTTGAAACAAATCACGTACACCCTTAGCTTATTAAGATATATATAAAGGAATAACAAGTCAAAATTATGTAGCTCACTTCCAACTTTTTCATCCTAAAATATATAATATTACAAAGGGAGAGACTCATATATAGAACACTGACGACTTCTTAATGGAATGAGCAATCATGAATTAAAGTTGAGTAGTCAAGCTAGCTTGGATAAGAAAGTACGTACGAAATTGTATTTATTAACTTAAGCAAGTCAAAATTTCCCCATTTAAAGACCTTTATTACTTTCTCTTTATAACTATTCAAACCGAATCTGCACCCAGAGATTGAGTAATTACTTTTTTTCTAGTACTTTTTTTTAATTCTAAATATAAGAACTATATAACTAATTTACTGTAGAAATTCAAGAAATTAATGGAGTTGTTTACTTATAAAACCAGGTATTGGTTTTCTTAATATATAAGATACCCCCTTTAATCATTTGTAATTTGTAATGAAAAACTACCTTATATAGAAACCCTTCTTTAGGAGACAAAATAAATTGAGTTTCACCATTAGGATCAAAGCAGACATCTCAATTAGTTTTTACATTTACTTAGGACAGTATGCATCTGAATTAGAGCTTGCAAACCTAGTTAATTTTGAATCAATTTTATTGGCTAAATAACATAAATTAAAATGGAGGTGCAAGGTCCACACTGATGCTTTGTGAACCTGGGTTTAAGGGCAGATTTGCATCCTCTAATATCAATTCAAAGGGGGGATTAACCAAACAAGTTGGGTAGCCAAACTCTTTCATTTAAAAGTTTATTATTAGCAGGTCTTGTAATTAAACCACAAACCAAACATCGTCTCAATCATCTTGCATAAAATGAATGTGTAGTTCAATGAGGATTGTAAAATATAAGGAGAGGGCTGAGAGGAAGCCACGTGAGCACACAGGATAGAAAATTGGTGCACTCGAGAGTGACATTGGTAGGATAAAATACTTGGGTTTTCTTAATTATGGGAATTGCTACCACCTTTTCTGTCCCACTTTAAGATAAAGCTAAGCCAAAAAGCAAGCGCGAGCGAGGCGGAATGAAAAAGTATAGGAAGAAGAAAGAAAGCCATGAAAGGAAGAAAGAAAGAGAAGAAAAGTAAGACAATAAAGAAAACAAATTGAAAAAAAAAAATGAGAGAGAGAGAGAGAGAGAGAGAGAGAACAAAGACAAAAGGTTCTCAAAACTCTATGATTATTCAAATTAAATTCTCTCAAAAACCAAGAGCGCAAGCAATGACTAGTGTTTCTGTTTCCTTCATTTAGCTATATACTTAACACCAATAAGATCTCTCATCAGGAAGTTTGTACGAGAGAGAGAAAGCAAGAAAGAAAGGGAAAGTGAAAGGGAAAATTTCTTTGTTTGAATCTGTGTTTGTTTGCAGAAGAAGAAGAAGGAAAGGGAGCTAGTAGGTAGAGATGAATAGAGGTGTTGTTCAGAGCTCACCGGTGCAACAAATGATAGCCGGGAACCCTAATTGGTGGAACATCAATCATAATATGAGGCCTCCTATTTCTCATCAACAACCACCTTCTTCTTCTCCTTTCTTCTTTTCTCCTTCTTCCAATAACTTCCTCTCTCCACATCCTCCTTCATCTCCTCTTCCCTTTCCTTCTAATTGGCATGCAAATCAAGATCAGCTTCCTGAGTCCTGGAGCCAACTTCTCATGTAATATCTCCCTCCCTCCCTCCCTCCCTCTCTCTCTCTCTATATATATATATATCTTTCATTTCATACACACTAATAACTAGACAATTCTACTTGAGTAGCACTGAGGTTATCTCTGAGATTGAAGGATCTGACTTTGAAAACGATCTGGCTAATATATATATATGTATATGTATATATAGGGGTGAAGAAGATAAGAAACTGGGAAACTGGGAGGAGCAAGTGCTGATGAGTCAGGCACAAAATGTTGCTCTTGTGGATGTGAAGCAAGAGAGCTCATCGGTGAATAGTTATGTGTATGGAGGAGGACATGGCGGCGGTTCTGGCGGCAGCGGCAATAACAGTAACGAAGAGTTTCAGGCGGCTTCCGGTGGCCGAGGTGGCGCTGCTAATTGGTCTCATCATCATCAAATAGTGCCTCCTCCTCATCCTCCAGCTGCTTCTTCTTCTTCACCAAAATCCTGTGTCACAACTTTCAGCAGCAACATGCTGGATTTCTCTAGCAGTAAGACAGATGCTAGGCATCCTCCTCCAGATCGATCTTCTGAGGTAACAAACTTATTCAGATTTCACTCTGTAAACCGCGATTAATTTAGTAAGAATCTTCCACTTCTTCTTTTTGAAAGAAAAGAACTTTGTGATATTGCTTTTGTTCAGCAATGGGGTCAAGAAAAAAAGTGATCTTTTTCTTTTCTAACGGTAAATAAAACTTTGTAACGGGTTTAGTTCCGCTTTTTTTCTGTTACAAACACATAATTTCCAGGAAGAAATTCTTGAAACACACAATTATGAGACATTGATCGTGCTATGAATCTTTGCGAATCAGGGGCAATTCTTTTCGGTTATTAAAATCGTACATATCAAAATTTGTAACTTTAGATTTTGTTTGTGGGAAAAAAGTTGCTTAATTTAAAATTTGACTGGATCATTCCTTTTCTTTTCTTCAAGTATAACAGCAATGGAGGTGGTGGGGCAGTGAAGAAAGCTAGGGTTCAACCATCTACGACACAGTCTTCTACCTTCAAGGTAATACAAGAGCCAATATACACACGATAATAAGTCTATGCAGAAACTTCCAATTAATTACCTCAAAGGCCCAAACTCTTTTTGAGAGAGACATGTTGAGACAAACCACATAAGCACACACGAAAAACATCATCATGTGGGTGCTAACTATTGTCTTTCTTGTTTGGCTAATTCTCAATCATGACGATTCTTTATCTCTTTCTCCTTCATGTCTATCTGCACACACGAATCAAACACAAATAACTTAACTAACTTTCAAGCACATGTGCATGTGCCAGTAGTCTCTGACTCCTGAGTCGTTCTATTCTATCCTCTTCTTCTCACATTTTCAGGTTAGAAAGGAGAAATTAGGTGACAGAATTACTGCCCTTCATCAGTTAGTTTCCCCCTTTGGAAAGGTAATTATTAAACTTTCTAATTTCTTTTATTCATTTGAATTAATACTTAGATCCTCACCAACCGTGTACATTTACATAATCGATACAATATACATACTACGGTGGCAGGGGCTATTGGGTATATCACCGTTATGTGTATTATGAATACAAGTTTCAATCTACTCCCTCCAATTCTAAATGTAAAAACTAATTAAGGAATTTATTTTGGTTCTAAATGTAAAATCTCAATCCATTATCTCTCAAATTTATAATTTTTTTTCTCTCTAAACTATCTTATTAATGGGATGGTTTTCATTTCCAATACAAATTATTAAAAAAGGTGTTTTAAAAAAATTAATATTTTATGTAAATAACTAATTTAACTAATATGTTTAATTTATGTAAAGTAATTATATAGTTTCTATGTTTTAGAATCGAAAGCAGTATTACCGAGAGAAGTCCTAGCTTTTTAAACCCTATTTCTGAGATGAGACTTCCGGGCTTGGTACTCATGACACACCGACAAGGAGAAATCCAGACAGTGAACTATATTAATATATATATATATTTGTTAATGTTGTGGTTGTTTTTTAAGGAATAGTAAATAAATGTTGATAATTGAGTAATAGTGGGTGTGGGGTTTCTTTCACTTTTGCAGACTGATACAGCGTCTGTCTTGTTAGAAGCAATAGGATACATCAGATTCCTCCAGAGTCAAATTGAGGTGATGTTTCTTTCTTTCTTGCTTATTTCAAACAAGCATGTCTCTGTGATATAGCACGCTGTAAAAGTTCCATTCACATTGTTTCTTTCGAATTAGTGTGTGTGTGTATATAAAATTAATGCCCCTTTTAATTTATCTTTATAATATTGAATTTCTCAATATTCTTTTCTCTTGTAGGCCCTTAGCTTACCATACTTGGGCACCACTGGATCATCATCATCAAACATGAGGCAGCAACACTCTGTAAGAAATATAGTGCCTTCCCACATTTAATTCCTCTTTTGTGTGTGTGTGTATTTGAGAGTGATAGACTATATAGCTGGACTATGAGATTATATTTTTAGCAAATTAATTAATTGCACTTTTTAAGACTTATGAATAATGGTTCTTCATAATGTGTGTGTAGAATTTAAAAGTGTTTACTAATTCTTTGCAAAAATATTATATTATGTGATTACCAAAAAAAATCTCATAACAAATCATATGTTTTGATGTAGGAAATGACAACAAAAATAAGTAATCGTAGAGATTATATTCATTTCTTAGGATCTCATAGAGGTGTCTCCTTTTTTTTTTTGTACATTTATTTTTTTAATATTATTTTGTCATAAGCATATGACTCACTTCTCAAAGCAGGAATAATAAAAATCTCTCTCTCTCTCTGCACCTTCTTGTAGCTTCTTTCTTCATTGGATGTGTATGGGGCTAATTATTTGGTACTAATTAAGTGATGATTTATGGAGATATTTTTTAATTATTTTGTTAGGTTCAAGGAGAGAAGAATTGTATATTCCCTGAAGACTCTGGTCAGGTATGCTTTTTCATGGCATCCGTTCTCCTTTTGAATATAAATTCAAGCTCCTAGCCCAGCTTCCATTTTTATTAATAATTGAATATTGAATTAATATAACGTTTTAATTAATTAATAATTTAATTATTGCAGGAATTACAGGAGGAAGCAAAGAAGGACCTGAAGAGCAGAGGGTTGTGTTTGGTTCCAGTGTCATGCACACTTCAAGTTGGGAGTGATAATGGAGCTGATTACTGGGCTCCAGCTCTTGGAGGAGGCTTTCGATGAATTATATATTAATCCTAATTAATTAATTAATGGGGTTGATTGAAGCACACAATTACGAGAGATTATTATCAATTAAATATATAAACATATTCATGGATATGGTATAATATCATGAGCAGTCAATCTGCTAAAAATTTCAAGGCTGATTGCTCATGATGATATACACCATTCCTGGATAAAATATATTACAATTAATAATTAATGTAATATATGTATGTGTGCTTTCACAAGTATTTTTAGGTAGCCCCATGTTAATTAATTATTATTAATTACTCAAGACTACTACTTACTCCTTGTTCATGCAGAGATCTGATCTCAGGCTCTTTATTTCTTGTTGTATGTTGTTGTTATTAATATATTAGGTTTATTGATTAGTTAATTGAGATCTATGGTGGTGCATTGTTAATTAAGTTTCATAATTATTATTGCATATGGGAAAAAGATTTAGGTTAAGTTATTTATATCCCTCATATCACGTTACCCAATCACACATAACCATGTCCTTATTTATTTTATGTAGATTTATAATTAAATATAATTAAATGCTAATATTTCAAAAATAGAATACATGGTCATATGTTATTAGAGAATTTAATTTAAGGGGTATAAAAAACTTGATATAAGTATTGTCTTTATTATATATGACTGTGTATCTTTAATCATTTGAATGCTTCTTTTTTGAGCAGCATCAATTGATTAGTAGGATCACAGTCATACTCACATTAGGCCGCCCTCATCATTTTTTATCAAATTAAAATGATATATCTTCTTATTTCTGCTCTTTTGATCAAAGTTGCGTGTATATCGCACTCTCTTTATGATTATTAATTAGGGAAATTTGGCTTAAAGTACCCGTTTGAAACTTTTATTGACCAAAGAAATTTGGTATATAACTCATTCTCAATATGTGCAATTCTTATTCAACTATGTGTAAAAGTCTTCAAAACGGAAGTTATTTGCATAAAGCAGAAAATATGTTGTATATATCCGAAGAAAATTTCTGCTTGCTCATATTTAAATTTTTTTAGCCTATAAAATTTATAAACATGTACTTTTAATCAATTTTTTCTACTAATTGTTAATGTCGAAGGTGCCTTATTACTACAAACTCACAAGTACCGGCTGTTAAATATTGAACTTCATAATCCTTCTTCTTAATATATCTAATACAAACGTCTCTAATTAATTAATATATAAGATTAATAATTAATAATTATACAGAGAGTGAGACATGCATGTAAGAGTAAAAGAAAATATTTTTAAAAAAATTACAAAAAAAGACCTTAGAATTGTAAAAACACATATAAGGACCCTTGACAACTTTATTTTGGATTTTGACAACTTCATGACATATTATTGTCAAAAGCTATAATGAAATTGTCAATAGTCCCTATCTGCGTTTTTACAATTTCAAGATTTTTTTTTTACAATTTTCCCAATATTTTTCGATTCTAAAAGCCTCTAGGGTTGTAGTTTATAGGAAATGAGTCAGCTGCATGCATGCTTGTACGGTTTTCTCATATTGCAAGGTCATATTGATTATAAGTGATAAAAGGTAAGAGAGATAAACACGTGATCTTATCCCATGTTTGTACAAATGTAGAGGTTGAAGCGGAAATTTATGGTCAGCTTTTGAAGATTAAAGAAGTGATGGTACTCATTAGCTAGGCACCTGGTACCTAGGAGGAGGAAGTGAAATGATGAAAAATAGGGATGAGACCACCTGGTACTTATAATAACTTCTTATGGTGAGTAGTGATTTTTGGGAGACAAAATAACTAAGATGTTATATCTAAGATCAAATCTAATTCTTAATGAATTGTTACATTAACGATCAAAGGTAATATATAACACATGTAGACTTCATATTTTGCTTAAAAGTCAAAGTTAACAGAGACAATGCCTATAGTTCAGAAAATGCTTACAGATATTTATATATCATCCACTAATAAGATCTTTATATTGGTAGTAGGATTCAAACTCCTAACATTATGAGTTATAAGCTGACTTCTTAGTAACTAAACCAATTCTTGTTGACTAGCATGTTAAAAGAGTTAAACCTATATGAATGCATTACCATGGTATGCCGAAAGAAATTGAACTTCATAATCAAAGAACAATTTTAGAAAAAGAAAAAGAAAAAAGAACAACCTCTCAGTAAAAAGTCTACCATGATTTAAAAAAAAAAAAAAAAGACCCAAAATGCATAATCAAATGATGGCTTTAGACACGCTTGAGGCCCACAACAATTGAGTCCGACCGTCCATGCATAAAATTTAGGAAAATTTTGAGAAAAAGAATCATGAAATTATTATTTTTAATTTAGGCACCTAAAAGTTGAAAATGACAGGAAAACAAGTAGTGCATGATCTAGTAATAAAATGTTTTTTGTATCATATTTTAAAAAAAAAAGTTATCAAACTTATCAATACAAATACATTTTTTATCATTGATTGTTCAATACTTTTCATTGCTAGTTTAAAACTTGGTAATAAATAACATGTTATTGCCAATAAATTTTTTCTTATTTGCTATTTAACACTTGTTATTGTTAGTTTAGAACCTATTAATAAATTTTTTGATATAAGTGTATTGTAATCATTTAATTATATTTGCAAAATACCAAATCAAGCACTACTTCTAGGGCTGTATATGGGTAGGGCTAGCTGGCTAGATAGAGTAGGACCTTTACCTAATGCCTACCCCGAAAGATAAATGGGCTCCATTTTGCAGCCCACTACTCGGCCTTGCCAATGAAAGTCCAAGTAATTTTGGGCAGGACTGGCAGGACAAGGTGGGCTTCCTTGCCCATAGAGCAACATCCTACTCATATATTATGTGAAGGAAAAAATTCAAACAAGATCTCTGGTAAATAATATTGTAAACTTCAAATACATTCCATAATTCTCTAATAACAAAAGTTAACGGTTTCTGCATAAAACTAAAGAAAAAATCCATCTGGCACTTTTAAAATCCTTTAAGATGCTTGTATAACATCTATTTATGAGAGAACATTTAGTTAATGTTTAGTAAGCTAATAAGATAAATAGGTTATAAATGCAAAATGATGAGAGGTGAAAATATAACCTTTATGTCTATGTCATTTTAAAAGTCACCTAAAACCAAACTAAGATATAAGATAACATCAACAACTTTTCAGAGACATGAGCAATCAATGGGCATGGAATACTTCACAAAATTTGCAGGCTTGCACTTATAAATTCTAATCTAAAATTTATTTTCAAAATTTGCATTGTTACCTTTTGCGCTCCAATTTTTCCTTTTAAACTCATCATATTTGTGGCAATTGATTGCATAGTTGGGTTCTTGAAAATTTATTTTGGAATTATTTAAATTTTCTTACCATCACATATTATTATGTCCTAAGAAAATATAGAAATATATTACAGGGTTAATACAAATTTTGGTCCCTCAAATTTGGACTCAATTTGGTATTGGTCCCTAAAATTTAAAACGTGTGGTATTGGTCCTTCAAATTATGTCCGTTTCAGACCGTTAGTCCCTGGTATCTTAGCACCGTTAAATTTTGCTGACGTGGCGTTAACACCATTAACCGATGAGTTGGCATATAGGTGGCATATGACCTGGACATGGTATTGGTCCCTCAAATTTGAGGCCATTTTGGTATTGGTCCCTGAAATTTAAAATAAATGGTATTGATCCCTCAAATTATATTTGTTTCTGACCATTGATTCTTGATAGCTTTACGTCGTCAAATTTGTCTAAGTTGGCTCTAACTTTATTAACCTATGATATGGCATTTGACTTGGCAACTAAAACTTGATGATGTGGCATGAGCAATGGAAGGCTACGGTCGAAGAGAATCTATGCAATCTGGGATTCACTTTTGTTAAAACACAGAGCTTCTGCTCCTATATTAGTGTGGAGGATGCATTCTCAGCTAAACCTTCTACCTCCTTTGCTACCTTTAGCCAAAAAGGTGACTTAACAGTTCATGAGAAGAAGAAGCCAGCTTCAGATACAAAACCACTCCCATTGAAGCCATCTTCTTCTAGTACAGACGATGATGAACCTCCCAAGAAAAAAGAGAAGCCCATTACCAGAGTAAGAAGCTTGAGAAGAAGCAACAAGAACCTCACCGGCAACTCTAACAAAAAGGCAGGCACGACCAGCAAGCCACCAGAGCCGCTGAGACCAGATAACAGCAAAGCAGAGGGTTCTACAGGAACAGATAAAAAGAAGAGGGCCTAAAGCTATCAGGGACCAAAGGCCAGAAACAGATATAATTTGAAGGACCAATACCATCAGTTTTAAATTTCAGAGACCAACACCAAAATGGTCCCAAATTTGAGGGACCAATATCATGTCCAGGTCATATGCCAACTCATCAGTTTAACGGTGTTAACGCCACGTCAGCAAAATTTAACGGTGCTAAGATGCCAGGGACCAACGGTCTGAAACGGACATAATTTCAGGAACTAATATCACACATTTTAAATTTCAGGGACCAATACCAAATTGGGCCCAAATTTGAGGGACTAAAATTTGTATTAACCCTATATTATATATAATTTTATGTAAAATAGAATAATATATATTTATTGGGTAGGGCCACATGACAGGGCAACACACCTAGCCTAATGCTTAGCTTGACCTGAACATCCCCAAATTATTTTCGGGCTGGACAACACATTTTATATGCAGGCTCGGGTGGATAAACTGGGCTACTAGGCTACACGAACACCCCTAACCTCTTCTTTCGTTGTCATTTTTAACTTTTAGGTGTTTGATCTGAAATATTATATTTTTCAGCTTTTTTATTTGTCATTTTCTTGAAAATCTAAATCAAAAAAATTTTGTAATAATATTTTGATACACATAATGGAATACAATATAGAAATATGACATAAAACAATGATTTTGCGAAATAAATATAGAATTTTCTTGGTACACAGAATAAAATTGAGTGAAAAAATAAAATTTATAGATAAAAAATGCATTTGGATATTATTACATGGTTTAACTAAAATTTTTTTCAATAATACGATAGTTATTAATAAATGATTATATACTTATTAAAGATCAAAATGGAAATAAAGCACATGCATCATCTTGTTTTTTTTTTTTTTGGTTGCAGTATACATCATCTTCGGTATCACATTTCCCCATCCATGAGACAGGGAAAAGGATATAAAGTTGTCCATGGGCCATAGATTAATGGAGTCCTAGTCCAAGTAAAGTGAATGGGTTGGCCCATATTCCATATGTGGGCCTAAAGAAAATCGACATGTCGAATTGACGATGATGCTCTGGCCCCTTTTCTATTAATTTTGTCTCTACCACTTTTGCAAATTAACTTTGTTTATTTATTTGGCCGAAGAAAATTAATCAGTTTTATTTTGACCAGTCTAATCTTTTGAGTTTAATCTTTACTTTTTTGGTGGACCAGACTCCTTGATATGTTTTTTTTT